ACCGCTCCATATTCAATTAGACTCACCGTGCAGAGTCGGCACTTATCATCAAACTACACTCGCCATGGATACGAGATAAGGATTCCCCCTATAGCCTACACACGATGTCGGATATACGGCGCTCTGCGCGAGCATTTATGAAGCCCGGCACGGCACGGCACACGAGGGGGTGGGTGGCCAGCAACACGCCCGACCGCCTTTGTCTCCCTATCGGCGATGTTTACTACACACCGCACCAGGTACTCATTTGAGGCCGAGTCGACCTAGGGGAGGCCCATGACCAAGCCAGATAACCGTCACTGGGTATGGGTGGCCGTGAGCGAGCACCTATAAAGGCCTACATCGCACACGAGGGGTTGCGTGGCAGTACCACACGTGTACACACACACACACGTGTGCACACACACACTCGTCTATAGACACACGTGTACACACACACACACATACGTGTACACACACACACTCGTCTATACACACACGTGTACACACACACACTCGTCTATACACACGTGTACACACACACGTGTGCACACACACACTCGTCTATAGACACACGTGTACACACACACATACGTGTACACACACACACGTGTACACACACACACGTCTATACACACGTGTACACACACACACGTCTATACACACGTGTACACACACACTCGTCTATACACACACGTGTGCCCACACACTCGTCTATACACACACGTGTACACACACACTCGTCTATACACACACACGTGTACACACACACACGTGTACACACGTGTACACACTCTTCTATACACACACGTGTATAAAGATAAAGATATTTACACACGTGTACACACACAAACTCGTCTATACACATACGTGTACACACACAGGTGTACACACACACGTGTTGTATGAGTAATACATAGGCTCTGCCCCCCCCCCCAAACTGAGATGGGGGAGGGGTCACGTGAGGTTAAACGATTGCTCCCTGCGCGCGTGGCCGTGAGAAGCGCAAGCACGCGGCGTTACCTGGTTACCTGGTTACCGTGTTACCTAGTTACCGCGCTACCTGGTTACCGTGTTACCTAGTTACCGCGTTACCTGGTTACCCCGTTACCTGGTTACCTGGTTGCCCGATTACCCCGTTACCTGGTTGCGCATTAGCGGTCACATCGTTACTTGGTTACCCCGTGAATTGTAAAGCCGGTTACCTGGTTGCCCCGTCACCTGGATGCCCGTAATCTGGTGACTCCATTATCACCATAATTCCCTTACCCCAAATCGGCCCCCGTTATTGTTACACAACATAGAGACAAAGATCCCCCGTGTAGCCTTGACAGACTGTTGGGGCAAGTGCTGTTAGCGAGCACGCTTGGGGCGCCACGGTGGCTAGGAGATGTTAACTACCTCGCCTGGTACACAGGAGGTCATTGATTAGATCCCAACCCTGACGATGCCTGTTTATTTTTGAGTTTTTTTTTTTCTCTCCCCGTGGTCGCGTGGATTTTTTCTCCGGGTCCTACGGCTCTCCACCTCCACATGTCGAATCGACGCCACGCGTTCCAGAGTGTTTGGGCTGCAATAAATGTCCACGTGACGATGGCAAGCCACTTCGTTGAGCTGTCATTTGTGACAGCTCAGGTCGCTTCTGGAAGAGAAAAAAAAACAGAGAGCCGTAGAGCTCAGGGGGCCTTACTTGGTCAACTCAAATAAATAAATAAATAGTTGATAGTTTTAAGGCCGACACTTCTCACCCACTCACCCACTCACCCTCCCCTCTCTCCCCACACCCCTCCCCCCACCAATTAACTAATTACTGGACGCTGATGCCCCCCCACCTTCCCGTGTGCCATCTATGCCTCTAACAGGGGGGGGGGTGGCTCCGACACGTGTCTGTCTCTCCCCCCCCCCCCCCCCCCCCATGAGTAAAAGTGAAGTCGCTGCTCTCAGCCGCCTCGTCGAGTCGGCGGCTGCGATTGCCGCTCATCGCGAGCGAGCGGATGCGCACTGAGCGCGTGGCTTCCACAGCAGCAGCAGCATCATCAGCTGCATCATTCTCAGAAGCACCAGCATGATCGCCACAACCAACACCGCTCATCATCATCATCATCATCACCTCCTTCGCTTCTCATCAATTCCTCCCCCTGCTCTCCCCTCCCCCCTGCTCCGCCTCCCCCCATGCCCCCTCTCTCTCTCTCTCGACGCTCTATACCAGTGGAATCTCGCGTCTCTCCGGTTCCTGGGAAGAGTCGATATCTTGCGGGGAGGCGTTGCGGGTTGGGGGTTGGGGGGAGGGAGGGAGGGAGGGAGGGGGGATCAGCGAGGGAAGATGCGGAGAGGAGACGCGGCGAGGGAGTCCGAGGCTCATTAGCGCGCTCCTCGGGGCGTCATTGCACCGGGGGAGGGGTGGGGGAGGGGTGGGGGAGGGATGGGGGAGGGATGGGGGAGGGATGGGGAGCCGGGCGAGGTTTATCCCCCAGTCAGCCGCTGCCAGCTCAGCACCCGCAGTGAGGGAGAACTCCCTCCCCCGCTTCTCTCTCTTCATCTATCGCGTCTCCATCTGTCTCCCCCCCCCCCCCCATACGACTACTCTCCCACTGTGTCTCTCTCCAAACTCTCCCACCACACTCTTCCCACACATATACACACACGCACTCTCTCGCCAAGTCTCCTACTTGCTCTCTCTACTCGATTCTCTCTTCTCTCGAAAGGCTCTCCCGCCACAATCCAAACACTCTCCCCCTCTCCATCTCTCTCCACTCTCCCCAACTCTATTACACTCGCCTCTCCACCCGGACATTCCCTCCACGCACTCCCCACACGCTCCGACTCTCCCCACTCTCTACACGCTCCGACTCTCTCCACTCCCCACACGCTCCGACTCTCCCCACTCTCTACACGCTCCGACTCTCTCCACTCCCCACACGCTCCGACTCTCCAAGCACTCCCCACACGCTCCGACTCTCTCCACTCCCCACACGCTCCGACTCTCCCCACGCACTCCCCACACGCTCCGACTCTCCCCACGCACTCCCCACACGCTCCGACTCTCCCCACGCACTCCCCACACGCTCCGACTCTCTCCCTGATCATTCCCTATCTTTCTCCACGCATTATCCTCCGTACCTTTCTCACTCTCCCCGCGCTCTCTCCCCATCTCCCCCCCCCCTTCTCTCATTGTCGCTGTCTCTCCACTCGCCGCCCCCTCCCCTCCCGTCCCACCCCTCCCCCTCTCTCCCGTAATGTCTCGCGCGGCAGTGCGTGACAGTTCAGACCTCGCGGCGGCGACGGACCCCCTCTCCCCCCTCTCTCCCCTCTCCCCCCTCTCCCCCATTCACATCAACGTCAACATCATCCCCTTCTCCCCCCCCCCCACCTGGAGCCCCCCAGCACGCGAAGGCGGAGGATGGGGGGGGGGCACGCGCGCGAGCGCACGCGCGCACACTGACACGTGTAATTAATGTCGCGGCTCTGACAGTTTAAATACGGGAGACTTTATCTCACAGACCCTGTCTGCGAGGAAGGGGGGGGGGGGGGAGCGCACCTCTCCAACCTCCTATTTAAGCCCCCTCCCCTCTCCAGGAGGAGGGAAGCTTCTGCAACCCCCCTGGACCCCCCTTGGATACCCCAGGACCATCCCCCCCACCCCCGAGGGACCCGGCTGATCGGCATGCGCGGCGCGGCTGCGTTAGGATGCGGGGCCACGCGCCGCACGCAGCACGAGATGAGAGGAGTTCGCTCCGCGACGGAGCGGTCTGCATACATAGCGGGGGGGGGGGGGGTCGGGTCCCCTGGGGTGGGGGGACACCCTACCCCCAACCCGAGTCAGCTCCTCCACAACCCAGCAGCGCTTTATGAAACATGCTAACGAGAGCTGGGACCCAGTTTCGCTCTCTCCATCCTTCCTTCCTCACTCCGCTCTCCCGACTGCCATCCTCCTCCTCCTCCCTGCGGGGGTTCACCCCTGCACCACCCCCACCACACACATTCATTATTTTGCTATTTCTAAGCAAACACTTTTGGAACCTGGACATATTTTGCCCGGTTTTTTTATGCACATGGATTCCGTGTTTACGTTTTCCCATTTCACGGCTCGGAATAATTTCAACACCAATTCCAGAGTTCACTTCGATTCCGAGCGGCATTCTGGGGAACAGCGGCACTGACCAGCGTGGTGAAGTATGGCCTAACAACCCTCCCACCACCAAACAGGCGCGGCCAGGAATTCATCCAACAGTGGAGTGACAATTAGGCTGTGGATTAAAGCTTTTTTTAATGTCACATCAAATAATCGTGATGGTGCTCCCACTCGTCGAGGGTGTGGCGCCATCACCGCGTGCTCGTCCCTTTCGGGCCAGGCCATGCCAGATGAGCGCCGCTCCATCAACAGCGTCAAGGGAGGACCCCCCCCCCCTCCTCCAGCCCGCCCGAGTCCGCCGTCGAGGCCAATCAAGGGTAGGGGGGGGGGCACTTAGTCGGCAATGTGCGGCGACACGGGCTCTGTTGCCATCCCACATCGGTAGAGCGGGTCGCTATTGTTGTTGTTGTTGATGGTGGTGGTGGTGACGTGGGCCTCGGATGTGGAGGGAAGGTGGACGAACACGGCGCCTGACCGGGCCGGTGACGGGACTCGTATGGATGTTCTGCTGGGCCGAGACCACATTCCTCCGCGCCACCCTCGACAATTCCGCACCAGGAGATATCCTCGAACGCGTTGCGGGCCGAGCTCAAAAAGCACGCGAGATGGACACTCGAGCCGGGGACCTCGTCACCCTGGGCGGACCCGGGGTGGAGGCGCCACGGTGGCTAGGAGATGTTAACTACCTCGCCTGGTCCGCAGGTGGTCGTGGGTTCGATCCCGACCCTGACGATGCCTGTATATTTGGAATGTGTGTGCCTCTCCGTGATCGCGTGGTTTTCTTCTTCCCTCCGGGTCCTCTGGCTTTTCCCTCCACATTTAGAGTCAACATGCGTTTAGAATATTTGGCCGTTCGAAATGTCCACGTGACCATAAGCCACTTTGGTCGCGCTATCATTTGCGATAGCCAGGTCGCTTCTGAATAAAAAAAAGCGAATAGCTCAGTGAAGCCTTAACTGGTTAAATTGGTTTTATTCGTTTTAAGGAGAGAACCCGGTGTCGTGGCGCTGGCCATGTCCGTTGCGGAGAAGCGCTCGGGCGAGAGTAGGAGGACGAGGAGGAGATAGAGGCACCGTCTAGGCGAGGCTGGAGCTATAAAACTCCCCCCCCCCTCTTCTCCTCCCCCAACAACGGCGGCTGCGCTTGCGAGACTCTCAGCCGCGTCTGATGAGAAGTCGGGGGAGGGGGGGGGGGCGGTCAGAGTCCGCGTGGCACGAGAAGTGCATCATTAAATACGTCATCAAATGAAGCCAGAAGTGCTTCCCACAGCAGCCGATCCCTGCAGAAGAACCCGTGGCACGCAGAGAGAGGGGGAGGGAGAGAGGCTCGCGATGTGGCGATGTCGAGCACGCACGCAGCCGTGCGGCACCGCGAGTCGTCGACTAACGAGAGGAAGGTGGGAAAAAAACATCACTTTGGAGCCTTTGTCTACAAAAACGACGGGCAGTGCGTGTGCGGCTTTAAAAAAAAAAGACACGCGCATCTCTCGACAGAAGCGCTCCTCTAGCTCACGGCTCGCACGGTTGACCCCTCATCCTCCTCCTCCCCGCGGCTCCGTCTCGTTGATGGCCTCCTGCTCCTCACGCTCTCTGCGGGCAGCGCGCCCCCTCACCCCTCACCACCCTCCCCCTCACCCCTCACCACCCTCACCCCTCACCACCCTCCCCTCCCCCCCCGGGGAGCTGCCACTACGCATCGCGAATGTTGTGGGCCGCAACAGCAACAACAAAAAAAGGCCCCAGCCCAAAAAAAAACGCTCTCAAGAGGAACCGCTCCCTCCGATTGTCCGCGTTCGGGCAAACACAAAAGCGTGCCACGCGTTTATTGGTGTCACGCGCAGTATCACGCGCTCGTTGATGGACACGTGACGCGTGTTTGTAATTGACGTGTGTTCATTCGTGGCACGTGTTCGTTATTGGCACGTGTTTATTAATAGCACGTGCTTATTAGTGGCACGTCTTCAGAAAACATTGTGTCAAATGTGATTGTCATCAGGCCCCAAAGGCGTAAACGAGCGCGTCTCCAAACAAGTCTCCAACTCTTTGTTTTTATTCCGGCCTCTGCATTTGCTATGCAGGGCCATTTCCCGAAACGTCGGGTGTTATATATTTTTTTTACTTTCGAGGCCACGCACGCATGCACGCACCTCACACGCTGTTATCGACGAGTGTGCCCGTTTTTGTTTTTGCCAATCGCGCCTCGCCTGTGCACCGCTGTCGGTTGCCGGTGAACGCTCGGTGCCGTCGCTTGCATTTCTCGTCAGTAAACAATCAAAACGGTCGCAAGGCGCGTCCTGACCACGTGGAATCATCCATCTCGTAACAGTGATCAGTTTTATTTTATTCATTAAAAAAAACATCGAATACAGCGCAAGACAGATTCTTTTTTTGGCCACGTTTCTCGAGGTTCGATGATGAACGGACGGCGCCCGCTCCCCTCAAACCCCCACCACCGATCACGAACGAGGCCCGAGCGAGGCCCAGCGACGCGCGAAAAATCACTTTCGAATCTTCTATCAAAATATAAATACCGGCCAACATAGCTCGGAAAAAATCGCGTGTCCCCTCCGTTAGTGCCATTGACAAAACTCATCCGTGCGATTCCTCGACAAACGAATCCCCACCCGCCTGGCGCTCTCCGCCAAGGACAGGGGAGGCCATTCTCAATCTTTATTAAATAACCCCCTACCCCCAACACATCATGAATCTACTGACACGGTCCATGCCACGTCCTGTGACCTAATGGCCTGACCGCCCAACGCCCTGACACATTGCCCCCTAACGGAGGTCTGCCAACAGCTCCCTTCCCAAGGTGGCCACGGGGTCCCCCAGCTTCCGCGTGCGGTGGCCACCAATCACAGCCACGCGACCGCTGCCGCCACACTCGCCACGTTAAGGACTCGCAGCAGCAGCCGCCGCCGCCATAGGAATGTGGAATTTCCTCCACTGGCTCTGCAGGGCTGTAAACGGGTGAGCAGCAGTGCGTCGATGCTCGCGTGAACAGGAAACCGCGTTGGCTGGCTTCCGCGTTTGCATACAACTCGAGCGCGACATTCGCTTGACGGTAATGAAGACGCCAATGTGTTAAGGAGTGGATCCACACGTGACAAGATAGCGTCCCTGGCCAATCAACAGCTGGCAGTTCGCCAGCAATGCTTCAAGTGAGCCTGACTCTGCTGATGAGACACTAAATGTGTTGCACGCCCAGCAGGCCTTGTGGCTGGTGGGATGTATCGCCTTTAGCAGACTGTAGCAGCAAGTGCTGAATGAATGCTGGAACGGCACACGAGGGGAGCGAGTGGCCAGCACCACGGCCGGTCGCCTTCGTCTCCACAGTGCTGATGTTTACACACTGCCCCCGGGACTCTCCCGTGTCTCCCCTCTCTCCCCATCCCCTCTCGCGTGTCTCCCCGTCTACCATCCCCTCTCCCGTGTCCCCTCGCTCCTCATCCCCTCTCCCGCGTCCCCCTCTCTCCCATCCCCTCTCCCGCGTCCCCTCTCTCCCCATCCCCTGTCCCCCCGTCTACCATCCCCTCCCCCGTGTCCCCTCTCTCCCCATCCCCTCTCCCGTGTCCCCCCGTCTCCCCATCCCCTCTCCCGTGTCCCCTCTCTCCCCATCCCCTCTCCCGTGTCCCCCCGTCTCCCCATCCCCTCTCCCGTGTCCCCCCTCTCCCCATCCCCTCACAGCGGGGACAGAGAGCGCGCGCCATGACCCTGGCGACGCGCGAGGAGAATCGCGTTTGGCTCAAGAGAGGGCGGCTGAGACCAAAGCGAGCAAAGCGTCGATTGTGGTGCGGATGAGACGGGAGGGCGGTGGGGGGGGGGGGGGGCTTGCGACGGTGGGGGGCACGCCGCACTCAAAACGGACGCACACAGAACCTGGAAATAGCCGCACAGAGAGGAGGGGAGGGGGGGTCACGACCATAGGGATGGGGTTACCCCAGGGGTCGCGGGCACGGCGCGAGATTCGCGAGCATTGATTTCTCATTTCAGTTCCTCCAGACTCCATTCCACGGTGCCGACTGTTTCACCGAGAGGGGGTTATGGGGATCAGGGGGGGGGGGCTCCGGTGTGAGGAGGAGGGGGGGGGTGTGGAGAGGAGGGGGGGGCTCTGGTGTCAGGAGCGGGGGGGGATGACGCGTGGAGGGGGGGGGCCGCTACCGCCGAGCGAACTCGGCGATGGGGCTGGGCCGAGCACGCGGAGGAGGATGGGTACGGCCGCGGCGGGCCTGCCGGGCCGGGCCGATGTCCGACGTTTCACTCGACGCGCTGGGAACTTCTGCAGGGGCGCACGCGTAAACAGAGTCGCGAGACACGGGGGGGGGGGGGTGGAGAGGGGGGGACAGGGACCCAGGTAGCCATTGGAGAGGAGCCACTTCCCCGTACCAGGGCCCTCGCCAAGCACGCTCAGCCGCCGGGTGGTCCACGGTGTGGAGGCGGCAGAGAAGAGTGTGGCTGAGTGAGCGAGTGGCTGAGTGAGTGAGTGGCTGAGTGAGCGAGTGGCTGGGTGAGTGAGTGGCTGAGTGAGTGGCTGAGTGAGCGAGTGGCTGAGTGAGTGAGTGGCTGAGTGAGTGAGTGGCTGAGTGAGCGAGTGGCTAGGTGAGAGAGTGGCTGAGTGAGTGAGTGGCTGAGTGAGTGGCTGAGTGAGCGAGTGGCTGAGTGAGCGAGTGGATGAGTGAGTGAGTGGCTAGGTGAGAGAGTGGCTGAGTGAGTGGCTGAGTGAGTGAGTGGCTGAGTGAGTGGCTGAGTGAGCGAGTGGCTGAGTGAGCGAGTGGCTGAGTGAGTGAGTGGCTAGGTGAGTGAGTGGCTGAGTGGCTGAGTGAGTGAGTGGCTGAGTGAGCGAGTGGATGGGTGAGTGAGTGGCTGAGTGAGCGAGTGGCTGAGTGAGTGGCTGAGTGAGTGAGTGGCTGAGTGAGTGAGTGAGTGGCTGAGTGAGTGAGTGGGTGAGTGAGCGAGTGGCTGAGTGAGCGAGTGGCTGAGTGAGTGAGTGGCTGGGTGAGTGAATGGCTGAGTGAGCGAGTGGCTGAGTGAGTGGCTGAGTGAGTGGCTGAGTGAGTAAGTGGATACGTGAGTGAGTGGCTGAGTGAGTAACTTATTGAGCGAGTGGCTGAGTGAGTGAGTGGCTGAGTGAGTGAGTGGCTGAGTGAGTGGCTGAGTGAGCGAGTGGCTGAGTGAGTGGCTGAGTGAGTGGCTGGGTGAGCGAGCGGCTGAGTGTGTGGCTGGGTGAGCGAGCGGCTGAGTGAGTGGCTTGGTGAGTGAGTGGCTGAGTGAGTGAGTGGCTGAGTGAGTGACTGGCTGAGTGAGTGAGTGAGTGGCTGAGTGAGTGATGTGTCGAGTCATAAAGTATCCCTGGTGAGCGAGTGAGTGATTGAGTGATTTATTGAGTGAGTGAGTGCTGCGTCAGGCAGAGCGAGCGCTTTATCAGGTGGTCATGTGAGTGCCTACATCGGCCATCCTGTGTAGGTGCTGTGTCAGGCCATGCTGTATCCTTGGCTGCCGCAGTGCAGCGCCACGAGGAGTCGATCGCGCAGGGACTCCCGGCTTGGGTACTCGGGCAGCTTCAGCATGTTGATACTAACGCACGCACACACACAGACAAAGGTCCCCCGCGTAGGCTTAACAGACTGTTGGGGCAAGCGTCGTTAGCGAGTAGCAGCTGCCTATAAAAGCCTGACAAGGCACACGAGCGGGTGGGTGGCCAGCACCACGCCCGGCCGCCTTTGCCTCCGCAGCGCTGATGGTGTTTACACACCGCACCAGGTATTCGTGTAAGGCTGAGTCGACCTAGGGGAGGACCAGGAGCGGTTCAAATATTCGCCACTGTTTTGGGTCTTGAGTGGGAACTGACACATACACACTAACTCACATCAACACACACATACACACTAACTCACATCAACACACATACATGCTAACTCACATCAACACACACATACACACTAACTCACATCAACACACATACACACTAACTCACATCAACACACACATACACACTAACTCACATCAACACACATACACACTAACTCACATCAACACACATACACACTAACTCACATCAACACACATACACGCTAACTCACATCACCACACACATACACACTAACTCACATCAACACACATACACACTAACTCACATCAACACACACATACACACTAACTCACATCAACACACACATAAATATCCACACACACCAACTCACATAAATACACACACACATCAATATCCACACACACATAAATACACACTAACCCACATCAACACACACACACACATCATTACCCACACATAATTAAATACACCAACACACGCACTAATTCACATAAACACACACATCAATATCCACACACACATACATACTCACGTAAATACACACACACACATCAATACCCACACACATAAATACACCAACCCACACACACACTGACTCACACCAACCCACACACACACTGACTCACACCAACACACACACACCGCTAACGCAATTATCCCACTCGCTCCCCCGTGCCCCTACCCTCCCGACCCATGCCCCATGAGGCACCCCCTCCCTCCTCCCCACCGCCCCCCATGCCCCCACCCCTGCCCAGCCACTGTGATTGATTCATCGCATGACAATCAACCCGACAATTTCCCAATCCTCAGAGACGCAATTCAGACAGATTATGCAAAGCGTGCGCGGTGGTGCGGTGCGGCGCGGTGCGGCGCGGTGGTGCGTGGTGGTGCATGGTGGTGCATGGTGGTGCGTGGTGCGGCGCGGCGCGGTGCAGTGGTGCGCGGTGGTGCATGGTGCGGCGTGGTGCGGCGTGGTGCGGTTCGTGACCGGTCACCGGGTTCCCCCCCTCTTGCCGAACCGTGGCCAGCGGCCGTGGTTCAGCCATGCCAGCTGGACACGGCCATTGTGAACCCACAGAGAGAGAGAGATTAAGCCTTGTGCGTTTTGGACCCCCAGATCTCAGCAGGGCTGGCTCAGTGTATACAACACGGCCATTATGAACCCACAGAGAGAGAGAGATTAAGCCTTGTGCGTTTTGGACCCCCAGATCTCAGCAGGGCTGGCTCAGTGTATACAACACGGCCATTATGAACCCACAGACAGCGAAGAGAGACTCGGGGTTTCACGGCAGAATCCTCTCGCACGAAGGCTGACGTGGCACACGAGGGGGTATTGCGGTGCGCTGACCACTGCGCCACCGCTCCCCTTGCACATGTAACCTTGTTGACCCGGCCCTGCTGGACATCTGTGAAGAATCTTCTTGGTTCTTTCGGTAAAAAAAATCTGTGAAGAAGATTACTCCTCCAATCTAAACAAAGATTCTGATTCATGGGGCAAGTGCTGTTAGCGAGCAGCACCTATGAAGGCCGGCACGGCACACGAGGGCGTGGATGTCCAGCACCACGCCCGGCCGCCTTTGTCTCCCCAGTGGTGATGTTTACACACCGTACCAGGTACTCATTTGAGGCTGAGTCGACCCAGGGGAGGCCCAGGACCGGTTCAGATAATCGTCACCGGTGTTGGCCTTGAGCGGGAATCTAACTCTTGTGGTCAAGTTCGTAGCGCAGCGCGCTAACCACTACACTACCGCTCCACACACACACACACACACGGTGACACACACACGCCTGCACACACACGCACACACACGCAGTCAGGCACATTGCATTGCTCGTGTCCTCACCGCAGCCCCTGGCAAAAGCAATCGCAAGAGTTTAAAATCCATGGCAGTAATGAAGCTGCGTCGCTATTTACGCTCCCTGGCCGTGCCGCCCTCCCGCATTTACGCCCCAATTAATCCCCCCGCTCGTTTATCGACATCGCTGGCAGGGGCGCGAGGCAGGGGTGGGAGGCAGGGGTGATACTCCTGCCTCCCCCCCCCCCCCTCTGTACCCCTAACCCCCCCCCCACTACCTCCATCCCTTGACCACCACTCCAATGTGGTGTTGGTGGAACCACGCGGTCCATCTTTTAACCCCTTGTGTTAAGGTCGGGGTGTCCAGCGCCCGCCGTGACCCCGAACTGACCCCGTTCCTTGAGTTTAAGGTGCAGGGCGATCCGTGTGTGGACACCGGGCGTCCCACCGAAGGTTCTGCGTGCGTCCCACCGCTCCTCCCGCTCCCGAGCCGGCCCCGCGGGGGAGCCAACGGTCCGCGAGGTCAAGAGGTCAAATCCCGCTTGGGGGGATCGACCCGGCCCATCATCGTCTCTCCCCCCCGGGGACAACATTTTTTACTACCACTTGGTGAAGAAGTCAACAGAGATTGTCCTGTAGAGAGATTCACCCGCCGTCATAGGAACGAGGAATTTCCACCACTGGCTCTGCAGGAGTGTGAACGGGAAATTGAGCACCGACGCCTCCATGTTGCAGCAACAGAAGGTCACGACCTCTCGTCTTCCTTGTGGTCCTCCGTGAGACCCGGAGCCATCGTGGCTTTGGCGATGTTCGTCACCACGTTAGCGGCGAGTGTCAGGCACTGTGAACTCGAGTTGGTAACCATGGACGGACTGTGAACTCGAGTTGGTAACCATGGACGGACTGTGAACTCGAGTTGGTAACCATGGACGGACTGTGAACTCGAGTTGGTAACCATGGACGGACTGTGAACTCGAGTTGGTAACCATGGACGGACTGTGAACTCCAGTTGGTAACCATGGACGCACTGTGAACTCGAGTTGGTAACCATGGACGCACTGTGAACTCGAGTTGGTAACCATGGACGGACTGTGAACTTGAGTTGGTAACCATGGACGGACTGTGAAATCGAGTTGGTAACCATGGACGCACTGTGAACTCGAGTTGGTAACCATGGACGGACTGTGAACTCGAGTTGGTAACCATGGACGGACTGTGAACTCGAGTTGGTAACCATGGACGGACTGTGAACTCGAGTTGGTAACCATGGACGGACTGTGAACTCGAGTTGGTAACCATGGACGGACTGTGAACTCGAGTTGGTAACCGTGGACTCGAGTTGGTAACCGTGGACGGAATGCACAAGCACAGTCCACAAAACCCAACGCTGTGGCCTTGCTTATGAGGATTTATGGTTGCCCTTTGAAGAAGGGACATTTCCCGAAACGTCACCTATTTTTATTTTTCCTTTTCAAGCCACAGACGCACGCACACACGCGCAGACGGTGTTATTGACGAAAGCGTTGAGTTTTAAGTTGACCGTGATCGGGATTTGTTTTTTAGTCTTGCCGAGACCATCGAGTCACTCCACTTGCGAGCCCGGCTCAATGATGAGCAGCAGCTGTAACCTAGAGTCCAACCCAAAGTCTCGGCGGTGCCGGCTCAGTGTCCGTGACACAGCCATTATGAACCCCGCGCCCTCTGACCTCCCCTCTAACGAGCCACCCAATTGGCTCTCATCCCAGGATGGTAACCGTTGGGGTCAGGGGGCAGGCGGAAGGGGCAGAGGTCAGGGTTAGGGTCACGGATGGAAGGTCATTCCAGTTGGCTGTGGGGGATTTGTGTCTTTGGGGAGCGGTGGCGCAGTGGTTAGCGCACTTCACTCCGAACACATCAGACCGGGTTCAATTCTCGCTCACCAGCGATTAATTTCTGAATCGATCTTGGGCTTCCTCTAGGCCAACTGGGCCTTAAACTAGTACCTGGTGCAGTGTGTGATCAACATCAGCACTTGGGAGACAAAGGCGGCAGGGCATGGCCATCTGGCCACACACCACCCCATCGTGTGCCGCGCCGGCCTTTATAGTGGTCGCTGGCAGCACTTTGCCTAACTTCCGGTGCAGGCTACACGGGGGACTTTTGCCTGTGTGTGTGTGTGTGCGAGCTCACCATGTGCTGGCCGTGGGCAGCAGGTTGGCGGTGTAGGCCACAGCCGTGATGGTGAACCGCTGCAGGCCCGAGCCCCCGGTCAGGAATCCGAACCCCCCGTGGGGGACTCGTGAGCTGGAGGGGGGGGGGGGGGACAGAGGAGATGAAGGAGAGGGGATGAATATGCGGGTGTGTAGGTGGATGCGCGTGTGTAGGTGAATGCGTGTGTGTCACTGGATGGGTATGTGTTCAAGCGTACACACAGACACATTTTCACGTTGCACGTGTGTCGGAGACGTGGTGCCGCGGTTGGCGTGTTGCACTACAAACCCGGCGACCCGAGTTCGATTCCCACTCATGACCAACACCAGTGAAGATTATCTGAACCGGTCCTGGGCCTTCCCTAGGTTGACTCAGCTTTAAATGAGTACCCGGTGCGGCGTGTAAACGTTGCCACCGGAGAGGCAAAAGGCGGCCGGGTGTGGTGCCGGCCGCCCACCCCCTTCGTGTGCCGTGCCAGCGCTCGCTTACAGCGCACTTGCCCCGACACTCTGCTGAGGCTACGCCCGGGGGATCTTTGTCTGTATGCGCGTGCTCCTGCACGTGCGTGCTTACGCGTGCGCGCGCTTGATTGACGCACGCCCGCTCCACCTCCTCCACCTCCCACCACACCGCTCCTCTCGGCGCCCCCCCCCCCCCCCCCTCCGCGTGCCGCTGGTGGAGGCGCTAAGTGAATATGAACGATGTGTTCTTAAGCGGCGAGTGGCGGGGGCGGAGTGGTGGTAGTGGGGCGGGGAGGGAACGGAGGCGACCGCCGCTTTGCCGTCGTGTTATTGCCACGTAGCTATTAGGGTTTATAGCGCCGCGACATAGCGCGACATAGTGCCGCTCAACACGCGCCCCGCGGGGCCACTCGCTGCCGAGGCTGCTGCTGTTGCATTATCCCAGCGGCGCACGAGTCATGCAGTCGACTGAATCGCTCACCGACACACTTATTCACTCACCTACGCACTGACTCACCTACACAATCACTCACTCACCAACACAAGCACTCACCTACACACTCATTCACATACACACTCACTCACATACACACTCACTCACCTGCACACTCACTCACCTATGCAATCACTCACTCACCAACACAAGCACTCACCTACACACTTACTCACTCGCCTACACACGGATTCACTCAGATATACACTGACTCACTCACATACACACTAACTCACTCACCTACACACTCACCGACACTGACTCACTCACCTACGCACTCACTAACATACACACTGAATCACTCATCTATACAACAACCGGCATTCGCCATTAAGTGGAGACGTCACCACGGCGCTTGTGCCAGGTTATGTGCACATTGAGGCCACGTGAAGTGTCGAACACCCGCTGACAGGAGGTCACGGGGCAGACCCAGGTGCCACGGGTCGACTGACTAAGATGACTGAGATGAGTGGCTGATGCACCACCTGTGCCCCCTACTGTGCCAACTTGCTGTGTTTTATTCGCCCGGTGCCCCGCTCGTTGTTGTGAGCGTCGCTCCTCTGCCCTTCGTTGTTGCTGGTGGGCGACTGCCTCCAACTGCCCAGTAGCATTCTTCACGAGCCTCCTCTAGAGGCTGATCTTGACACCACTGGTACCAGTCATCGGCAAGTCCACTCAGCTCCACGTCCTCCTGTACCACATCACTCCATCTCTTCTCTAGCCCGTGCCGCGCCCGTTTAGCCCCCTCTATCCGGCCAAGCAAAAACTGTTTTGGAATGCAGTGGCTGGGCATGCAGGCTATAAGACCCAGCCAACGCAGCCTTGCCTGCCGGAGGAGCTGACTGATGGGATCTTTCAAGGATTTGTGAGCTCCTCACACAATCCAGCCTGGTTAAAGCCATGATGGATTGTAGGCAGGCCAACCTAAATGTTTCTAACCGGTAAAGATGTTCCATTAGGGGGGGGTCCACGTATCGTAAGCATAGAGAAGGGAGGGCATGACTGTGGCCAAGAAAACCTGAAGCTTCATATGGAGAGACAGACCAGGTAGCTTCCACATAGCGTTACTCATCCGATGAAAAGATAATGCTGCACGAGCCGGTCATGAGCACACTGTCCAGGTATGGGAAACTCTCCACTCTTTCCACAACTGCCCCATCACCAATTGGGAGTTGCAGGGATGGAGTGTCCAATGGTACAAAAGGCACAGGCAGGTGCTTAGTTTTGGTGGGGCTGATGGTAAGGCCCCACCTCTTAGTGGCACACTCTAGGTTCAGCAGCAGCACCTCCAACTTCTCCTGAGTGAGCAGCAATTACCAAATCATCGGCATACATAACATGGTTGACCAATAGGGAGCCATCCCTTGACCGCACCCGAGCATCGATCAGCCTCCCATTATATCTGTACCAGATGGAAATTACTCACGTACAGCCATCGAAGGCCTCACGAACTACGTGGTCGAAATCGATGTTAAATAATGCGAGAGCCAGAGGACATCCCTGTCGCACCCCAAGGGAATAGCTCCAACTCCCAGCCACCTAGTTTTACCCGGGCCCGCTCACCATCATGAAGGTCCTTAATGATCGTGAGCAGAGAGTCAGGGACTCCGAAAGCACGAAGAACAACCCAGAGCCCAGGTCTACTGATGGTATCATAGGCCTTGACCAGGTCAATAAAGCAGAGATGTAGATCTTGTTGAAATTCTCTACACCTCTGCTGTAGCAGATGGACAGAAAATATGGCATCTGTGCAGGACCACCCTTTCTTGAAACCACATTGGGGATCCGCAAGCTTCTCCTCAGCGTGCCTGGCAAGGCGATGTTGAATAAACTTTCCAGGACCTTTCCCGGCACACTGAGGAGTGAGATGCCCCTGTAGTTGTTACAGTCTGTGCGGTCCCCCTTCTTAAAGAGGGGGACCACCAGGGCATCCTTCCAATCCTGCGGAACACGTCCAGTGGTCCAGACTGTTATTATGATGTCATGTAGGGCAGTCTGTGCACAATGGTAGCCCTCCATCAGCATTTCGCTTGGGAGATTATCTCTGCCGGGTGCCTTTCCTGGTCTCAAGACTCTGAATCGCCTTCAGTACTTCCTCAACAGATGGCACCTCAGCCAGCCACTCGCACAGGGTGAAATCTTCCAATATTTGAGGCACCACAGCCTCAGCAGGGTCATTCCCACTTTGCCCCATGATGTTTTCCAGGCTGAGGGATTTCTCCTCCTCCAAGACCTCAAAAAATGCTCAGCAAATCTGCTAAACTGTTCCTGGGGGTTGGAGATTAGATCACCGTTCTAGGTGTAGCACTGCAGGTTACTTTTATTATGGAATTAAAGAGCGATTTCTGTTCACGGGCCATTGAGGCAGATTCCATCTCCTCAGCAACCCATAACCACCACCCATCCTTGCAGCACCTCACGGCTCTCCGAACCTCCGAGCGAAGGCTGCGGTAAGCCTCCTCATTCTCCAACGTGGGATGCTGTAGCCGATGAGAGTGGACCTGTTGCTTTTTCTCAGTCAGCCTGAACACCTCCTCTGTCAGCCAGGGTCTCTGGGGAGGTCTGGACCGCGTACCCAAAGCAGCCATTGCAGCTGCCTGAGCCACAGTCCTAAACCTCACCCATTTACTCTCGACATCTGGAGGAGTGGGGGACGATGCCAACCCCAGCCGCAAGCGATGATGAAATTCTCGCTTGCAACTTTCATCAGTGAGCTGAGACCAGGCCACCATGGGTTTTAACGGAGTCCTGGGTGTACACCCACCACCGGAGTGGAGAAATGGCAGGCGCATCGTACAGATGACAAGTCGATTGTCAGTGGGCAGATCAGCTCCACGGTAGATCCTGGTGTCAAGGACATGGGCCCGCATCCGCTGTTCCGTCACTATATAGTTCAGCAGATGTTCTTGCTTGGACCCGGCATGCATCCATGATGTTATGTGGATGCGCTGATGCCAGAATAACGTGTTGGTAGTTACAAGCCCATGGGCTGCACAAAAGTCTAGCAGCCTCCTACCGTTGTTATTGAGCTGATCTGGCCCATACACACTGACTCACTCACATACACACTGAATCACTCACACACTCACTAACCTACACACTCACTCACTTACACACTGAATCACTCACCTACACACTCACTTACACATTGACTCACTCACATACATACATACCGACTCCCTCACTCTCCTCCCCACTGACTCGCTCACCTACACACTGACTGACTCACCAACAGAATTCACTCACATACACACTGAATAACTCACCTACACACTCACGTACACACTGACTCACTCACCTACACAATGACTCACTCACCTAAACACTGACTGATTCACTCACTCACTCACATAGACCCGCACTCACTCACCTATACTGACTAACCAACTGAACCAATCACCAACTCACTCACTCACATAGACACTCACTCATCGATACATTCACTTACCAATTGAACCCATCTAAAACTCACTCACATAGATACTCACTCACCTACTGATCGATCACTAACTAATTCACTCACATAGACACTCACTCACGCATACAATCACTCACTCGCTGGCTTGACTCGCTCATCACCGACTCAATTCACTCACTCATCCACCGACACTCGTTTGCCGACTGACTCGCTCATTCACGCGCACACTCAAGCAATTGCTTACTCGCTCACTCATTGACTCGCTCATCCACTCACCCACTCAATCACTCACCCAACCCACTCACTCAACCTAACTCGTATGACCCACGGATGCCACACTGTGTGAATTGTAACATTGCGGGCTCACGAGAGGTCATTATCGGTCCGCGTGTTCACGCAGGACAGCGTCACCGAGTCTCAAGCCACTTTTCCAGCAGGGTCCTGCCAAGTTTTCTCAGCGCTTTGTGGCGACGGCGCTGCCGTGTGCTCCCAATCGAGCGATTAGCAGGGAATTCTTGCAGCGTTTGTCGACGTGGTTCAGCTACGCGAGGAGGAAACCGGAGAACCCGGAGGAAATCCCACGCAGAACAGGGAGACAGAATACCGCAAGGCACCCGAGTCGGGAAATTGAACTCAGACGCTCGTTGCTGTGAGGCCCGAGTGTTAGCCCTGCGTCATCACCCTGCCGCCCAGATAGCAGCGGCTTGGTTCGAGGCCGTCA